GGCACTTAACAACAACAACTCTACCACAGGTCTACTGTTCATCCAATAGGCAAAGTACTCCAATTGCCAATTACCAAGAATCTTCGGGGCTAACCACTATAAACCTTTTTTTTTTTAAAAAAAAAAGATACTTTGTGCTTTGGGTAAAAGTTTACATGGCAAATTGGATTCCCATTAGACAATTTCTAACACTTTAACGTGAAACAGGGTGTGAAGTAATCAGATCCAATATAGGTTGATGTGGGTGAGGAGTCTAAAGATATAGTTTCAATCCTGATATGTATGTAGTTTTGTACATTCACATAAAAATTCCCAATACAAGACAACTAAATGTGACATGGCATTTTGGGTTAGAATGCACCATGGAACAGTAAAATAACATTAACTGGAAAAAGTGGGGAAATGCAAATATAGTCTGAAGGCTAATGTACATTAATGTACAAATATCAGTTTTTTAAGTTTTGACAGATTAACCATAGTAATTTAAAATGTTGACTTTGTAGGAAGTTGGCCGAAGGATACATGGAAACTCTCTGTACTACCTTTACAACTTTTCTGTAAATCTAAAATTATTCCAATCTAAAAAGCTTATTTCAAAAAATATCCCAAGACTTGATTTTTAGACTGCTTCAGCAATCTAAAAATAGTGCTAACTTTTGCAGTTTTCAGCACATCAGAGACAGCAAAGTGATCACTGGACTTAATTAGAATGAAAACCTTTGCTCTTCAAAACACCTTATTAAAAGAATACAGAAAGACAACCAAGACACCAGGAGAAAAATCACTGTAACCATATAGCTGACAAATGATTTGTATTTAGAATACATAATTAAAATTCAACAGTAGAAACAAAGAATTTGGTCAGAAAATATACAAAAGGCATAGAAAGACAAATATGAAGAGGATGACAGATAAGAAATAAGCACATGAAAAGATGATCAACATCATTAACCATTAGACAAATGTAAATTAAAACCACAATGATCACTACATATCTCATAGGTGTCAGAATGGCTAAAATAAAAAATACTGATAATGCTCAATACTAGTAAGGAAGCAGAAATACGAGATCACTCATATGTTGCTATTGGGACCGCTAAACAATGCAGCCCCTCTGGGAAACAGTTTGGCAGTTTCTTAAACAACTTAATATGTATAAAATTAACATAAGGAACGTTCTTAAAGAAATGAAGACTTACATTCACACAAAAAATCTATATAAATGTTCATTGCAGCTTTAATTTGTGAAAGCCAAAAACTGGAAAAAACCCAGATGTTCTTCAACAGACAAATGGTTAAAGGAACTGTGGTATATCCATACCATGGAATACTATTCAGCAGTAGAAATGAGCTACTGATATGATACGTACAACAACTTTGATCAAACTCCATGGAATTATGCCACATTAAAAAAAAAACACCTCTCAAAAGTTACACACTATAGGAGTCCATTTTTATAACACTTTTCCAATGGCATAGCTATATTAGTGGTTTCCCAGTGATGGAGGAGGGTTGAGAGTGGAGACGGGGCTATGAAAGGGACGCACAGAGGATCCTTATGATGGAACTGCTCTTCATAGTGACTACCGTGGTGCTCACAAGAATCTGTATAGACTTAATACTTCACTACACACACACAGAGTACATGCAAATTTTATGACATATGACAAACGCCAGTGGATTGCATCACTGTCAATTTCCTGATTGTGACACTGTACTATATTTGTTAGTTATGCAGAATGTTAACAAGAGCAAAATGGGTGAAGGGCATGCCATAGGCTCTCTCGCTACTATTTCTTACAACTGCATGTACACTTATAATGATCTCAAAATAAGAGAGAAAGATAGAGAAAGCCTAATTATCTACCAGGGGCTTATTATTCTCATTGTGGCTTAACAAGAAATCATGCCTTAAATCTGAAAGCACACTAAGTACTTGGCTTGATAGAGCGTCCATCTTTATGATCTTATCTCATGTTCTACACTAACACACTTACTTTAGTAAGGAAAACCAAAAACTTAACCTAATTTCCTTAGTAAGCACAGGCACCAGCAGAATTCTGAACTGCACTTACCTTTGTACACTGTGTAGCAGGCAAGAGGTCAACAAACACCTTGAGGTCTGTAAAACAACAAGGTTTATCTCCAAATTTTTTAAAATACTGAAACATTAATTCTTCTGGATCACCTAAAAAAGGAGGTTGAGGGGTGGGGAGAATCACATAATTATTCCTGGACTGAATAAATTTCTAATTTAAGTAGTAAGTCTGATTTTTAAATGCTTGTTTCAATTAAAGGAACTTAAAATTTTGCTTGAATGTTTGCATGAGAATATATGGGAATACCAATGAATAAGAAATGTGGTCTAGAAGAGGGTTTACCCATTTAAAACTCAACAAAAGGACTAGAATGTCATGAACTCAGTTTACCAGTTATTATACTCTAAATCTTTTAAAAAGTGATAGGCTCCATTTTTTGATGATTTAAAGTATAATAGCAGGTAAAATACAATGACATGCTTCTGTCCATAATTATTCATGAGCTACTTAAAACAAGTATTAAATGTTAACTAAATGAAAGGGAATGTTTGTTAACATACTCACACTAAAAAAAAAGAAATAATGCCACTTCAACAAGGACATTCACTAAGGAAATTCTGAAGCTGAATAATATTTAAGCCAGTTCATTTTATTTTTCCACAAATTGAAAAAAGAAAGAAAATGCTCTCAAATTTGAGAAAATGCGTAAGGTTTAAGCAGCAAGGATTTTTAACCCAGGTCTTCTGTAACATTTTAATGCTCAATTCTATCTACATTTTTTTTGGGAAGAGAGGTTGCAGAACGCTGCAATCCAAAACATGGACAGAGATATCAGGTATAGGAGGTTCTAGTTATCTCAGGACTACTTTTCCCAAAACAGCCCTCTTAAAATTAATCAAATTTTAATAGAGACCAAACCCTTAAAATTGTTAGCTTAAAAAAAAAAGTGGGGAGGGTTCTTTTGGGCTTTATTTTAAAAATGAAACAAAAATACAGCAAGTTTACTATCTTCAATTTAGTAAAAAAAAAAAAAAAAAGGTCAGAGTATAATTACAACTATAAGCTAAGACTTAGGTGAGAAAAGAAACACTGCCTTTTTTGTGTCACTTTTCCAACAACATTGTCAACTAGCACAGTATGACATCCTTTACTTCCTATATAGTGTGACCTGTTTTATAAAATCATCTAAAGATTTCATCAATTTTCCTGAGGGCCTCTCTTAATATTTTACTATCCAAATCACTCTTGTCTCTCATATTGTTATTATTTTTATAAATTTTTCCTGCGTCCGTTACTTGGTCTAACACTGCCAAATGTTCTTTCTCAATGGCTTTTGTAAGTGCTTGTAGCAGATTTTCAAGAACCTTTTTATTCACTTCCCAAAACCCAGAATCTTTACAAAACTGGCTATTTTACGTTGAAACTGACTTTGACTTCATTGTCAGGACAGTAAGAGAATGGCTGACAAACAGTGAGAAAATAGGGAGAGATGCTAATGTTAAGACAGGTCAAATATATGATTAAGGGCTAATTTTATAAATGATCTACTCCTTAGTGAAGGTGTCGAAGCAGCATAATGGGTTATGATAATCTTGCTAATCGCAAGATTAGCAGTTTGAATCTATCAGCCACTCTGTGGGGAAAAGATAAGGCTTTCTGCTCCAGTAAAGATTTATAGCCTTAGAAACAATATACAGGGCATGAGTCAGAACCACCACCACACCACCTACCTATTTCTTAGTAAATATTCTCCAGTTATAAGGCCTTTGGATTCCCAAGAATGACTATGTCACTATCAGCTTCAGATAGTGAACACTGTGCTTGAGCATTGAGGGCATCCCTCATTTTCTCCAAGTTCTCCAAATATCATCCCAAACATCATATTGTCTCTTACCTAGTTTGTACTCATCGTTACAACCTTGACGTCTTAAACGCCTAATCAGCTCCAATTTAGCTAGATAAGGTCCTCGAAGATGGCGAGAGCTTTTAGATTCTTCTGTTATCCTATCTTCTATAAACTTCACAGCTTCTTCTGTAGAATGATGTACTTCTCCTTCTAAAGAGCTGGGCATAAACATGTAAAAAAGGTATTTTGTGACTTACTGTCCTTCCCAAAGTCAAACCAAATTATTTAGAAAAACAAATTAAAAGATAAAATAAAACAAAACAAAAAACCACTATATGATAATATGAAGAAATAAACACAGGAATAAAAGAGAACGAAGCACTGGTGTGGTGTTGTAGGATAAGAACTGCAAGGTCTGCAGACCAAATTCACCAGCAGCTCCTCGGAAACCCTACACAAGGTCACTATGAGTCAGAACCAACATGACAGCAATTAATAACAACATAAGTACATTCTGTAAAACAAGATTTACTCCCTATTTGGCATTTGATTATTGAAGAGAGACTAAACCACCTTAACCTGCTTGTCTTTTATTATTTTAATTATTAAAAATTATTTAATTATTGTAATATACAAAATATTACATATAACAAGAGCATAGAGACCACAGTTTATTAGTGGTTGGCAGGGGCAGGACTCCTGGTGTGGCGTTATAGGATCAGCACTGGACTGAAAACCACAAGGTTGGTCGTTCAAACCCACCAGCTACTCCTCAGAAACCCTATACAGGATCGCTATGAGTCAGAGCCGACTCGACAGCATTTAACAACAAGGAAAAGGGCAGGTAGAAAGGAGAAAAGAAGAATAATTGCTTAGGCAGCACTGAATCTGTGAAGGTTGATGAAAAACTCGGGACACAGATTGTGATGATGGTGGAACAATATGGTGAACATAATTAATGCTACTAAACTGCATACATAAAAATCATTGGGCATGGATGTTTTGTTATAGTATATATCTTGTCAAATTTTAAAAGTTGTCTATGAAAAAATATAAGTAAATCTCATTTTTATTGCTTGAAGAAAGAAGGCTGAAAAAAGTGAGATAATTAGCTACTATTATGAAGCAAGCACACATCAGCTTATAATTGAGATTTGTGTCTACTTTTCAAGCAGATCCATTTTATGGTTTTTCTGTCCTTAATAGTCAAAAAGGAAAGCAAGGAAGAAAGAAATCAGTAACAATCCAAGTATCCACGCATCCATCAATAGGGAGAGGTTAAATGAATTATGATATATCTCTATAACAGAATTCACTTAAACCAATAAGAAAATTAAATAAATGTACAGTATAGCATACATGGAAAGATGTCCACGACATATTTAAAGGGTGGGAAGGAGAATCAAGTTGCAAACCATTATATCAGTATGATCCCACTTTTATGCTAAATTATTATGTTAGTACACAGACAGAAAGAAATCAACCTGAAGGAACAGACACTAAACTGTTATCAAGCACTATTTCTAGGATGACAGCAGTATTGGGGAGTAATGTTTCTGATATAAGATTTTTTCTTTATTACAATGAACCTGTTATTTTACAATAAAGACAAGGAAGAATCTTACTTTGAAAGAAATATACTACAGAAAGAAAAAGAGCATTCAAGGAGACTCACAATGAAGTCTTTTGGCTACAGCTACAAGAAATGAAAAAGTTCCTCTGTAATTCAGGAAAGATGACAACTTACTGTTCACCTTCAGCAGGAGGAGTCCAGGCCTCTTCAATCAGTCGAAAGACAGAATCGAAGTAAGTTAGGTAGAACTGCCAGTCATCTGAGCTAAAAACAGATCAAGTGATGCACATAAGTAAGATTAAGCACAAGGTGTAACAAACCTGCCAGAGGAACCATGACATACAACTTATTTTCTCTTATTTTACCTTTTAAGTCTTTCTAAGAAGTGGCCTTCTGCCAAATGCCCTCTGCAGCTCTGAAAGGGCAACCCTCCAGAGGCAGTTTCAAAGTGAACATTTTCAAGACACCACTCTTCACTTCAATAAAACATCCAGGCCTGGCAAAGCAGTATTCTTAAAAGAAAACTCCCATATGGAAGCCAGGGGGTTGTAGAAAGGGAGGACAGCCTCTCTCTTTTAACCCACAACTGAATTTAGTGAATTAAGGATGTTTAATTTTCAATCTGTGGCAACTGTGGTGAGCTCAAGGTCAGCCAGTGTCTGAGTGTCCACTTAAATTGCTGTGTGATGGTAATCATCACCTGTCATCTCTCCAGGCATTTTGAGCAGACACTCACCACAGGTAAGCTCATCAGAATAGCACAGTTCAAACTCCTTTGTCAAAGGGTCAACTGCAAAATATACATGGATTTTTGACTGCACAGGATATTGATAACCCTAACTCTTGCACCAATTTATGTGGATACTCAGATACTGGTTGTTCAAGGGTAAACTGTATGTTATGCCCAGCAATCTCAAAAGCTATATAGAACCAAACACAAAACTCAGTAGCGAGTTCTTAAGGCCCCACTCTAGTCTCTTGGTTCAAGCAGAAGCTTCTACTCACTTTTTCAGTAAGAGGCGCCGGGAGAGAGCATTACACTCTGGCCATCTGCTCAGCTTCTTGTACATAGCCATGCATTTGTTTTCCCGACTCTGAATCTCACTGGTCAATTTCTCTACAATCAAAAGTGGTCAACAAAGAGTTAAGAGGGAAGCAGCCAGCTAGTCTGATGTGGGGGAAGACATGCAAGGACTCCCAAACTTGCAGATTATACCCATTTGACCTAGCTTGGCAGGCATGCTTACCAGAACTCAATCAGATAAAGATAAAGAACTATGATAAAGGGAGCAAATGAAATTGCTACAACTTGATGAACTGGACCTTTGCTTATGGATGAAGTTACCCAAAATTCCAACCGAAAGGGAAGGCTTCTTCAAATAAAGGATCAAGCTCATTTCCTCAGTATACTAGGTTAACAGGGACGGGCAATTTAGACTTCAGCTATCAAAATTGGGGGGTTATAAAGGCACAAAGTGGCTAGATTACAAGTTTTCATGAGTGTGCTTAGACTCAGAGCAAGGGTGGTAAGATAGAATCCCCACTGAATAGTTTTCCTTTTATCCAGATGGGTCTGGTAATAGTGGGGATAATTACTCAATTGTGAGTAATTGTTATCAGGATTAATGGCAATTGTCATAACTATAAATGTAGAAAAGGTGCAACTAAAAGGAGGGAGCAGTTGATCTGTCATTTCAGGAACAAAGGACCCTAGAACCATTAAGAGGAAAGAACATGAGAGGAGTGAGGGATCCTAACCAGAATAGCGGCAACACAGAGATGGTGGCAGAGGGAATGGCATAGAGGGATAGAGCAGCAGAGGACTCTAGGCCCAGGGACTGAGAGAGGCAGTGTGCCTGCAGGCAGACGGCTGGCTTGCAAAATGTGTCCTTTGGACATTTAAACGAATGTATATTTTCAATGTGGTATGTATACATTTTTTTTTTAAAGGGGGTAATAGAGGTAAATACTGGTAGATGGTGCATGGAGGGTATTATAAGCATTGCAATGATTCATTAAATGTAAAACTGATGATCTGCCCTGTAAACCTTCACTCAATTCACAAAAAAAGATTTAAAAAGAAAGAAAACCACTATACTAAAGCTTTTTAGGCACAGCACTGCTGCTGATTATTTTCATAATCCTGACTCCATTTTTCCCATTTTCTAAATAAAAGATATTTTTAAATGTATAAGAGTATCCTCATAAATAAGTAGACTTTGTCAGTGTGGGGTTTATTACAAGATTTAAATAAAATCTAGCTTTTAAAGAGGAAAAAAAAAAAGTGATCAACAGCTTTCACTTCAGCTCAAAAACCAGACTACAGTCCAACTACAAAAAGAAAATGTCTCTTCTTCAGTCTCTTAGAAAATGGGGCCACTATCAGATACAAGCTGCAATCTTACTAAAGATTGTTGTTGTTGCTCAGTGCCATCAAGTCGGTTTAGTTTGCTGAAAAGAAAAACATATGTATTTCTTAGAGAAAACTTTTGTAGTCACTTTCATTGTAAACTACAAAGACTCCAGGAATGTGTTGAATTGAGAATCTGCTATGGGGGATACATTTTAAAACATGAACCACATTTTGATATTGTTGTCGGGTGCCACTGAATCAGATTTTCAACTCATAGTGATCCTGTGTGACAGAGGAGAACTACCTCACAAGGTTTTGTAGGTTGTAACCTTTATGGAGGTGTCCTGGTGTGATGCTGTAGGATAAGAACTGGACTGCTAACCACAGGGTGGGTGGTTCAAACTCCTTGAAAACCCTAAACAGGATCACTATGGGTTGGAACTGGCTCTTAACAACAACAACAACCAAAAGGTCAGTAACTAAAACCCACCAGCCACTCTGTGGGTGACTCACGGGAACTGAACAACAACAATCTTTAGGGCAGCAGATCACTAGGTCTTTCTTCTACAAAGCCACTGAATGGGTTCAAACTGCTAACCTTCCAGTCAGTAGCTGAGCACTTCATTGTTACACCACCAGTGCTCCTGGAACAGCATCTAAGTACTGGTGAAATCAAAAGATGGTCTTCCAACCCATACAGTTCCAAAATATCAAATAGGCTCAGGCTACAATAAGGTGAGGTATTGGAGTATGATTTCGAAAGAATTATGATGAATCAAACTCTTTCCCAAGAGCTGAGAACAGAAAAACTAGGACTATAATTCTAGCGAGCCCTGGTGTGGTGCTTCAGGATAACACTAGACTGGGTAACCACAAGATTGGTGGTTCAAAACCATCAGGTGTTCTCAGAAACCCTATAAAGGGTCACTATGGGTCAGTACTAGCACTTAACAACAACAACAGCCAAAAGGTCAACAATTAAAACCCATCAGCTACTTTGTGGATATGGCACTATAGGATAAGCACTAGATGGCAAGGTTGGTTTAACAGTAAGGTCAGCAGTTCTAACTCCCCAGCCGCTCCTTCAGAAACCCTATACAGGGTCACTCTGACTCGACGGCACTTAACTACAACAGCCACTCTGTGAGAGAAATGTAACAATCTGCTGATAGCCTTAGAAAACTTAGGGGGCAGTCCTACCTGTCTTACAGGGTCTCTCTGAGATAGTATCAACTCAGCGGCAATCAGTTATATAGTTCTGATCAAAAGAGATTTCTCTGTCCTTTTAGAACAGCTTAACAGATAAGGGATACTGAAATTTGCATTATGAAATGCCTATAGAGATTCAGAAACCCTATACAAGGTCGCAGTGAGTTGAAACTGATTCCACTGCATTAACAATGATAACAAGACATTCATAAAAATCAGTTCTCTAACAAAAAGGGAAAGCGCATTTCCAAGACAATGGGAAAGAGTTAATTAAGTTAACATAAAATACTCTTACAAATCAGTAATAAAAAGGCTAACAAAAATTATTTAAAATAGAAAAAGGATAAAGAAAATCTTAGATAAAAAGAAAAGTCATGGCTCACGACTTTTAAACAAATGGAAAAAAAAAAAAAAAAATCACCATACTTCATAATTAAACAAATAAAAAACTGTAATACAGTCTGGTAAGTATGCAAAGAAACAAGCCCTCTAACAGACTGATAGTAGATCCAGCTGGTGGAAATGTACATTGGTGCCTCTTAGAGGGCAATGTGGTTCGTCACAAACATGCTTATTACCAAAAGATTAAATATCCATCAGAAAGGACTGGTTAAATAAATTCTCTACATTTGTATTATGAAATATTGGGCATTACTAAAAGAATAAAGTATGTTTCCCAACTAAGACATAATGTTGAATTAAAAAACAAAAGCAAAAAACCAGCACAATTGGTATAACAGTACACATGATGGTGGTGGTGTGCTATGCACATATGGTTGGTTCCAACTCATAACAATCTGTACCCAAAAACAAAGGTGTCACCTTGAGAACTAAGGTGCATCTGACCCAAGCCATGCATGGTATTTTCAACAACCTCATATGTTTGTGAAAGTTGAACGTGGACTAAAGAAAACTGTAGAAAAATTGACGTATTTGAGTTATGGTGTTTGAGGAAAATATTAAAAGTACATGGACTGCCAAAACAACAAGCATATCTGTGTTGGAAATACAGCCAGAATGCTCCTTAGAGGCCAGGATGGCCAGACTTTTTCTCTCATACTTCAGACCTAATATCAGGAGCGATCACGGAAGAAGGACATCATGCCTGGAGGGTCAGCAATAAAGATTTAGGTTAGTGCAGGACTGGGCAGTGTGTTTCATTCTGTTGTTCATGAGTCACTATGAATTGTTACTAACTTAATGGCACCTAACAACAAATCTTTATGAGAGCAGGAAGCCTCATCTTTCTCCCAACAAGCAGCTGGCATATTCAAACTGCTGGCCTTGCAGTTAGCTCAATATGTAACCTACTATGTTACCAGCGTAGTGGTTACGAATCGGGCTGCAAACTTTAAGGTCAGCAGTTCGAAACCACCAGCCGCTCCACGGGAGAAGGATGAGGCTTTCTACTCCCGTAAGGATTTACACCCTCGGAAACCCCGTACAGGGTCGCTATGGGTCGGAACCGACTCGAAGGCAACAACAACAACATGTTAACCAGGGCTTCAAAACAGTATGCATGTTGTTAAGTGCCATCGAGTCGATTCCGACTCATAGCGACCCTACATAGGGTTTCTGAGGAGCAGCTGGTGGGTTTGAAATACCGACCTTATGGTTTGAAGTCCAATGCAGATTCTAGTGACACACCAGAAGTCTGAACAGTATGCATAGCAAAGGTCAAAAACTAAAATGCCCTCAGAGGACAGGTAGGTAAACAAGGAGTGTTTGTATCTACATAGTTCACACCCTGACCAGAGACATTTAACATTCAAGTTTTAGAAAAAATATTTTAATCTTAAAAAAACATTGCTAATTGAGTAAAACTGTTCTATGGGTCACTCATCCAGACATAATATTCTGTGGGTTTTTGTTTATTTTTTTTAAAGGATGGGGAAAGGAAAGGTACATTTTAGAAGAATATAAAGAACAGGAAACTAGAGAAAAACTAAAAATCTAGAGTGAAATTTTTCATACTCCTCTTTTATAATAATTTTTCATACAATTATTTTCAATTAGAAAATGCTACACAAGGGACTCCCAGTAAGGTGGCAGACTCAGTAGACATACTACATGGACCCACAACAACAAAGATACAGCAGAACATTTGAAACAGATACTGATGAAAATCCTGGAACACTGAACTTCATAGAAAAGGTTAGAGAAGTGGATTGAGTGTTTGCTGGGAGAAAAAGCTAAACAGGGATGACAAGATAGAGAGATTAACAGGTGAACAGCTGTCCATCTTGAACTTCTGTGAACAACTTTGGAAAAGAATGTGGCCTGGCAGAGCAGATTTACACAGGCAACAAGAAAGGAGACAGCAACTGTGCTAATACAATCTAGCCACAACCATACCCTCTGCAGCTCCACCCATTAGGCAAGAGCTAATGCTGACTCCTAGCAGCAGAAACCCAACCTACACTGAGGTGTATGAATGTCAAATGAGAATGGTGTACACACTTCCCTTCTCTAATACACCCAGAGAGGACAGTTGGTGAGAGCCTAAAAAGAAAACATCAATATACAATCATCAGTACAAATATGACAACCCCACAATGCCCTAGCGACAACAGATAATGTTAGCTCACACAAAGCAACAAGAGAGAATGGCTCAAATAAATATCCAAAATGTAGATCCAGAAAATGTTTCTGATTCAGGACAAGTAATGGAACTAACTGAAAAAGATTCAAAAGAACGTCATTTAGGTACTTTCAAAGTGTCAACAGAAAGATCAAGGAAAACAATGAGAACACAGAAAAAACTTTTGGAGAATTTAAGGAAAACACTACAAGAACAAATAGCAAAACAAATGCAAATTCTGAAACAATACAAAACCTTCAATTAGAAATCCAAATTAATACTAAGATGGAGTCCTGATATGGTGCTATAGAAATGCAAAGTCAGTTTGACTGCAAGACCAGCAGTTAAAACCCACCAACTGCTCCTCAAAAACTGACTTGATGGCACTTAACAACAACATGCATACTACCATGAAGCCCTGGTAGCATGGTGGCTGTGTGCCATGGAGTCGCTTCCGACTCATAGCGACCCTGTACAGGGTTTCTGAGGTTGTGAATATTTACGGGAGCAGAACGCCTCATCTTTCTCCTGCAGAGGAGCTAGTAGTTTAGAACTGCTGACCTTGTAGTTCGCAGCCTGATTCGTAACCACTACACTACCAGAGCTCCCCAAGTAGCATAGTAGGTTACAAATTGGGCTTCTAACCGCAAGGCCAGCAATTAGAATCTGTCAGCTGCTCCTTCGGAGAAAGATGAATCTTTCTGCTCCCATAAAGATTTGTTGTTGTTAAGTGCCATTGAGTTGGTACTGAGTCATACCGACTTAAGCACAACAGAATGAAACACTACCCAGTTCTGCACTACCAACAACAATACTAAGATTTCATGAATGGAAATACATTGAAAGAGCAAAGGAGCTGATGTGAAGTAATGGAAGCCCGAATTAGTGAGCTTGAAGATTAATTTCTCACTACTAGCATGTCAGAAGAACAACCAGGAAAAAGAAAAAATCCAATGAAAGACTGAGTTATTTATGTGGGACAACAAGAGGAGGAATACCTTACAAGTGATCAAAATTACACAACAGGAAGAGACAATAAAAAGCACAGACAAAATTGTCGGTGTTGTTGCATGAAAATGTCCCTAACACCAAGAAAATAAGAATATTAGAAGCTGAATGAATCCCAAACCGAACAGATCCCCAAAGAAAATCTTCAGGACATATCACAATCAAACTTTCCAAAACCAAAGACAAGGAAAGAATCCTGAGAGCTGCTTGGGAAAAACAAAAAGTTACGTACATAGGAGAACCAATAAAAATATAAGAATAAGCTCTGATTTCTCAGTAGAAACCATGCAGGCAAGAAGGCAATGGGATGACAAATACAAAACTCTTGCCAACCAAGAAACATATACCCAGCAAAACTGTCCCTCAAATACAATGGAGAAGTTAGGAAATTTCCTGATAAACAGAAGCTAAAGGTACTTCTAATAACCAGACCAACTTTATAATCATCAATTAAATACAAATACAACAAGACACTCAAAAAATGTAGACAGCCTAAATGCCCATCAATAGAAGAATGGTTAAACAAACTTTGGTACATATACACAATGGAGTACTATGCAACACTGAAGAATAAAAATGAATCTGAAGCATCTCACAACATGGACATTATGCTGAGTAAAATTAGTCAATCACAAAAGACAAATATTTCATGAGACCACTGTTGTAAAAAGTTAAAAAAGATTTTCTTGATAAAAGGGGTGGCATGGAAGAGAAACTTATTCACAGGGTAGAGGGTACACACATGTAAACATGGGTGACAGGGCAGGCAATATACAACAAGAGAAGGTTAGCAGAGTAAAACTGAAGGCAGCAGGAGACACAGGGAGGAATACAAGAGCTAAAGTGACCAAGGGTAAATACTGCTAACATGGAAAGGATTACAAACATTGTAATGAAACAACGTATATGATTTGTTGAATGCAAAACTAATGCTCTGCTCTGTAAACCTTCACTTAGTTCACAATAAAAGGTTTATAAAAGAAACTATTACAAATTTTTAGCACACAGAAGTCTGAAAAATTATAACACAATAATCACAAGTGACTTTATCTTTATCTACATTTTTATATGAAGAAAACATTTTTCACAATAAACAGCTGTTATGTTAAACCCTATACAGAGTCACTATAGATAGGAACCAACTCAATGGCACTTAACAACAACAACAAAAATGTTTACATAAAAATTTTAAATATTAAAAAGTACCTCCTAACTTCCCTCTGATGACATCCAAGGCTTCCTGGTACTTCCCCAAACGTTCTAGGATCATATAATAAAGTTCAACCTTATAGAAAAAAACAAAAAGAAATGCAGTCACTGACACTTTTTAATAATTAAAAGGTAGTTGTTTGCCTATTTTTTTTTTTAAGTTATCTAAATAGAAAGTATTTTCAAATGAGATAAAATTAACAATAAGACTTGAACAATATTATCTCCCCATTATTGCAACCTAAAGTGGAGTCCTGGTGTGGCATTGTAGGGTAAGCACTGGACTGCTAACTGCAAGGTCTGTGGTTCAAACCCACCCACTACTCCTTGTAAACCCTATGTTATTGTTGTTGTTAAGTGTCGTAGAGTCAGTTCCGACTCATAGCGACCCTGTATAGGGTGTCTGAGGAGCAGCTGGTGGTTTGAACCGCCAACCTTGCAGTTCAAACTAGCCTTGTGGTCCAGTGCTTTATCCCATAATGCCAAACCCTATAAAGGGTCACTATGAGTAAGAACAAACTCAATGGCACTTACCAACAACCTAGAGTATTTGTTGGAAACAGGTGTATCTTAATGGGGGGCTCCCTAAGCTCCACATGGACTCTCCAATTGAAGCAAAGCATCAACTCATGATCAAAACCAAGCAAATACACAGGGAAGACTTAAATGACTCACTTCAGCCTCAGCTTCAATCTTGTCCTCTTTCACCATTTTTTCTACCATTCTCTCAGCAAGGGGCAGAAACATCGTTTTTGAAAGGTTCTCATCCTGAGCAGATATAGACTAGAGGAGGAAAAATAAACATTTCATTTGAAGTCACTATTTACACTTACTCTGCAAACCGTTACTATGAGGCCAATACATAATTACCAATCCACTATGTCAAACAACAGACCCAATCTGAACTTGCCAAGCAGTAGTTTCTTTATAGAAGTTTCTTTACTAAAGATCCATCAACTTATGCAGCCTTGAAACTTCTGAGCTTCCACAATATTGCAACCAAGTTTTAAAGTTAAGTTATTCATATATTTTCCTAGAAAAACAAGGCCCTGTGCTTATACTGTTTATTTAAAACAAAGGGAGTATCAGATGTTTTAAGAGAAGAGCCTTTCGTCTTTTAGAGATGTTCAGATTCCCATCTATTTATATAAAGGAAAATATCCACATTAATCTTAAACTGGTAATTAAAATTAATTGCATGGTACTAATAATTTTAACACTGCCAGACATTCTTCTCAGATCTCTAACAAACACATAATTCAAACTTTGAATACAATACTTCAAGGTGAATATTAGGCTTACTTTACAGATAAGAGAAATTAAGTTTAAGAGATTGACATGTTTCTCCAAAACATATGTTGAAAGCAGTATCTGAATCCAAGTCTGTTCTTAACCCAGAACCTCTGTTCTTAACCACTATACATGACTCCTTCTCTATTCTCTCCTACACAGTATCTCATTTTGGTCCTCAAAGTACTTCTGGGAGATAAGCATTTCCATTCAGCAAAAATGTAAACAGACTCAGAAAGGAGACATGATAAAAATCAATTCAATGGCCACCCAATTCAAAGATCAGTTCACTAACCACCAATATTTTCTTAAAAAGACAAACCTTAAATTGAAAGATCTCAAACATTTTGAAGATCACATTTGAGTAAACAATCTAACAATGGATCTAAAATCCAAGGGGAAATACAATCCATGCTATATACAAATAAACTGCTATAGCAACACATAAGTAATTCACATAATCCCCAAATCAAAAAGTCAACTGAAAACAAGTAAAGTCTCCCACTTGACAAATGTCACAGTTCATTACCCGAGAGTCAGAGACCACACATTGACAATATCTTCACTATATATGAAAAGAAAAATAAGTCTAAATTCCATTCTGAATGCCATACTCACTTGCATTATTAAGCTCATCACAGACCAAAAGTAGTAAGGGTTTTTGGGGACAATCTTATATAGAGCCATGCCAGCCTGAAAGACAGAGAGCCAAAACAATTTAGAAAACATCATACAGAGGTCAAATGAATGACCCAGACACGTTGACAAGACATTTCCTAGAAGAACAGCAGCACATTTACATTCCCCAGTTAGTGCAGGTGCCTAGTGACTTGATGTATACAGCAACACAGGTCATCACAAAGGTAAGGATTACCACATGATGAGTGATATTCACCTACTGAACTAGATTTTTCTAAAATTTAAGTCTAGTATTTCTAGCATACACTACAATCCAATAGCTTTCTAGTACACCACCAAGCAAGCACAAAAAAATTTGGCTTATGAATGTGCATCAATAAAAAACTTTACAGAAGAACCCACACTAACCAGTTACAGAAAACAAAATAATCCAGACAGTATATTGAGACTTTAAAATTAGAAAAGATTACCATAACATAATTTAAAAATAATAATGCTTAGGTTAGGAAAATAATCACGGTCTTTTCAAAATAACATAATTGCAAAACAGAGACATAGCAAGAAGGTTCAAAACAGACCTATTCACACAGAAAAATCTGCCCAAAATTAACCCACAGGCAATTGTTGCTAAGCACTCTGTAGCTAATTATCATAGTTATTATTTTATGGGTTTTTATTTTTTCATTTTGTCTACTGTCAACCACTTCAAAAATTACCTGGAACCCCTATTGAGTAAAATACCTTATTCCTGCCCAAACTACAAAGATTGAATCCTTGTCCCAAAGGCAAGGGAAAGCTAGGGAAAGAGACCAGACAAAGTGACTAGAATATACTTGGCAAAAAAGATAGATGTCCTACAGAAAAGCACTATGCTAGGGGTGTTTCCAAGGAAGACTGGCTGACTTATTTTCTCTCCTTTTCTTTTACTTGGAAAGTAGGAAAGAGAACTCAATAAAGCCATCACCAAAGGTGTAACCTTTCAGATGGCCCTTGAAGGTCAAGCAGCGTCTACAGGCAAAGATGGAGCACAGGAATACAAATACAAATACTTAATAGTGGGTGTATTAATTCTTGGTTTTTGTTGTTAAGTGCTGTCGAGTCAGTTCTGCCTCTTAACAACCCAGTATAGGGTTTCCAACGCTTTAAACCTTTGTGGGAGCAGAAAGTCTCATTTTTCTCCCTTGGAGCAGCTGCTGGGCTTGAACAATCAACCTTGTGGTTTGCAGTCCAGTGTTTATCATATGGAAGTTGTTGCTGTTTAGTGCTGTTGAGTCGGTTCCAATTCATAGCAATCCTATATTGGGTTTTCCAAGGAGTAGCTGGTGAATTTAAACCTGTGGCTCAAACTGACCTTGCAGTCCAGTGCTTTATCCCTCAGTGCCACCCATACCAGAACTCCATCATGTGGAGGTAGAGGGTAAATTAATTTGAGTAAAATACATTAAAGAAAAAAACCAACAGACATATTTGACAAGTAGGACATCTGACTGAAGAAGGATATACAGTAGTAGGAAAAGGGTTGAAGGGTAGACTGAAATATCTTGGTATTCAAAAGGAATCTAAATGCTAGAAAGCATTTCAGTGGGACTGTGAAGAGATGGAATAGGAAGAAGGAAGAGGTGAAAAGATATGGTATTAACCCAAGATAAGATAGATCAAAAACAAAAGATACCTGAAAGACACTGTAGAGATAGGATCAAAATGATCGGGAGACAAAACAGATATACACGGTGCATCTACTGATACAGAAAAGTTTTAATGAACACATTTAAAAAGTATGCCTCTAAGGTTGCAAGTTTAATGACTCAGAAAATGGAAGTGCCATTTATTTTTTAAAAAAGGAAAAGTCTAGCCATCATATGAATGACTAGGAATGGTTCATTATAATAGTTTTATAGTTTATCTGCCAGACATGACATTTTTGGGGCAGTAGACACCATAGGGTTTTCTTATTTCCAGGCTTCCCTTCCTCCTACCTCCATCAGTTTATGCAATTATTCATTTATTTAACAAAATTTATTGTAAGATGCTATTCTAGGCACCGGGGATTCAGCAGTGAATAAACAAACAAAAGGTCATCACTCCCTCCCCTCACCCCCAGCAAAAAAAAAAAAAAAATCATGATACTAAATTTAAGCAAATTACTTATTAACTTATTAACTCAGACTGGTATACCAATTTCAAAATAAAGGTGTGTACAGCTAAGGAATTATAAACAAAGGCAGTATGAAATATAGACAACTTCCATCCTAAAGTATTTAACACAAGATTACTCCATTCTTTAGATACATTATTAGAAAGAAATAATGCAAAATCAAGTTAGGACTAAAACATATTAAGAAGCTGTAACTGTTAAAGCCTCATCAATACAATGTCTCCAAAAAGCAAGATACAAATTTGTATCTATCTCTGGACATGCAAAGCTAAACTTCGAAAAAAAATGAGAATTAGTTCCTTGTTCAAGTGGTAGGTTATTTCTGTCTTTTTCAAAATTTACCTTAATATTGCTATTACAGGAACTGTCCCTTCTTGTTATTTTATGTACCTTTTTTTTAATGCAAATAATTTTATTTGGTGGGATCATAAAATTAACACATGCTTATATATTTTTTAAAATAGAAAATAAATTAAGATGAAAGAAAATTATCCATAACCCTATATCCTGGTAGCATTTTGGCATATATCCTTTATTGTAGGAAGGTGGATGATGGGGAAATAGGACAAGAAGATTGTTTTACAACCTACTCTTCCTTCTTCAAGGTTGGTTTGTATCACAATGTCTGCATTTCAAATTCACCAGCCACTCCTCAGAAACCCTATACAGGGTTGGTAAGAGTCAGAACCAACTCGATGGCACTTAACAACAATAGCTTCTCAAGTAAAGGGGCTCTAGAGTTCTGGTGTGGTGCTATGGGCTAAAGCATCAGACTGCAAAGTCATTTGAACTGCAAGGTCAGCGGTTCAAGCTCACAAGTGGCTCCTATACAGAGTTGCTATGGGTCAGAATCGACTCAACGGCACTTACCAACAAGTGTCACTGTGGGTTAGGTATTCAACTGCTAAATACAAGGTCAGCAGTTAAACCCACCAGTCTCTTCATGGGAAAAAGATAAAGCTGTCTGCTCTTATAAAGAAATCCCATATAGGGTCGCTATGAGTTGGCATCAATTCCATGACAGTGGCTTTGTTTCTTCTCACTTAACATTGTATTTTGGGAACAACTTTTTATGTTAACAAATAAAGACACATAGTATTATTTGTGAAGAGGGGACATTATATTTTACTCTACTGAACAGATACATCATAATTTCTTTAATTATACCCCTATCAATTATCATTTAATATATTTTGATAATTTGTTTAAAACACATTCCTAGAAGTCAAAATTATATTTAAGATTTATGTTAGTAATGTCAATCTCTAAACCTACAACCACTTTACATTAAAAGAAAAATTATCATCTCTGAATACTTTCACTGAGACACATACTATTTTAGGAAATAAATTAATAACAAAAAAATTTTTAAACACCACAAAACTTCCAATTCGAGATTTTACATAAGTGAACATAAAGGGTGTTTTTAAAAACTTTTATTAATAGCATATCTCCCATCCTGTCTGAATTCTCAGTTATAATTTGATATTTCAAGTAAAAAGTAACATAAAACCAAAACCCAACTGTGGTACAGGGAATTACTTGATGTGACTCTTCCAGCCAGTCTTCATAACTCCCACCACAGGACTGGGTGGGATCATGCAAATGATACTCTAAAGGTGGAGGAGAGGGTTAGGCTGGTCAGTTTTACCATTCTGTTGGCATTAAAATGAGTCATCTCAGAAGCGGAAAAGGGTGTTCTTACTAATCATCAAAAAAAAAAAAAAAAGAGCCATGAGCAGCACAACCTTAGGAACCTGCGATCCCTGAGCACTGAACTTGGTTGGGGAGAAGAGAAGTGGTGGCAGCAGAGGCAGCCACATCAAGAGCCTCACACAGAGTGATGGGCTTCCCATTCCACTGAATAAATGAAGCTGAGTACCTTGGAAGAGGATGCTCACTTGTAGAGTTGGTGCCTCCAGGCGCTTAATTGAGCAGTGGGACTACTTTATGGAGTGGTGGAATACCCTGTGGTCATTTACTGGCAGCACTATAAGAGCTTCATAACACTGCTCAAGCAAGGCAAGGCCAAGGGGCCACATGGGTGGCTGAGAGGGCAAAAACCAGAGAGGCCTGCCTACAGGCATGGGTAAGAAGTGCTCCTGACCAGAACTATATCCTGAGAATTTCTGGTCTTGAACCTGTTAACTTCCTAAGAAACTCCATAATCATAAGCACTGTGAATTCTGTGAGGTTATTGCAATGAATTACATAACCCAGAACAGATGTAGAGTGTGCGTTGGGAGGGATGACTGGTATCAAAACTGGTAAAGAATTCTATCAATAGGTCAATAGCCTCATAGGTCAATTCCTATGAGGCATGTCTGACCTCAGTCTCCTTGGAATCTACCTTGGGCCGATGTTGAATTTGAGTCTCCTTCCTCTTTGTAAAGTCAGAAAAGGGAAGGTCAGGTGCTGCCCCCACCCCCAACCCCCCACTGTTAGACCAAGCTTTGACTTAAAAGACATTACACCTATAAACAAAGCATTTAAAAAAAAACAACTAGTTTAACATGGTAACTATTTGCAAACTATGTGTATTTCATTTCCCTGGGATGTCTTGACAGATTTTCCATGTACTAGTCCAAATTAGGCTCCTTTATATGTATACAAAAAACCTAAAACCCACTGCCATCTAGTTGATTCCATGGGAGCACCTAAAAAGTATAAAAACAGGCCAGCTAAGGCAAAAACACAAGGTTCACAGGCAGGGAGATCCACTCCACACCCACCCCTGACTTAAAACTCTCAGGAGGCCATAAACTATTAAATGTACATATGAAATGTAAATTCATTGCTTACATTTGTTACTTTTCCTATAAACTGCTCATTTTTGCTTCAAGGATTTCTGCCCATTGTCTGAGATTTTAACAATCTGGTTCAGTGTGACAGTAAAAAGCCCATTTACCGGAACCAAACAAGACCTACCTCCAGGTCACAATCAACTTTTCCCCCCATAAAGCACTTAAAGAACTTGAATAATGGTTTATCTTTAAAATACTCAAGGAAAACTACTGTCTGATCCACACACACAAATACTAAATTCAGTTCAAGACACACACACACACACACACACATATACCACTGCAGCTGTATCACATTAGAGACGTTTCTAATAGTGAATTCAGCAGCCCAGAAGGTTTGGAGAATCAAGTTACCTGCTGCATTTTCTTATATTCGCCAACTCTAGCGTAGGCCATGAAGAGATGAGAATGGTACTCCTCACTATTGGGAACTTTCTTCACAGCTGCCTCATATAGTTTTGTAACTAGCTCCGCTAAGATAAAGAGAAATAAGATTGAAGTTATGCTTCAGTAATCTAAGAAATCCTAACAGCATTTCATTTCTTTCCTATTGGCAGAAATAGAGTTCTCCTATCATTAAGGAAAAAGCGTGTTCTTTGATTCATTTGAACAATTTCCTGGTCTTGGTTAGGTGTTCCAATAAAGCATGAAACAGGTCAGGGCTCCCCATCACATTTATAAACCCTCAAGGATCTGGCCATTCTGGCTCCTTCCTAACACTTTTCCCCAGCAATTTCTGTTCCAGCCACAGCAAACTATATGAGCAAAATCAGCTTCCCTGAGCTTTTTCATCTCTCCACAAACTCTTCCTTATCTTTTCTACTCAAGTGAATGCCATCCAAGATCCAGTTCAAGAGTAATCTTGTCTTTGAGATCTATCCTGAACTCTACCTCTGATCCTTCATCTCAATTTGATGACGTTCTCTCTCTCTGTCACATTTGACTTTTTAAATAACTAATGAAGCATTTGTTATTGTTGTTGTTAAATGCCACTGAGTTAGTTCTGACTCGCAGCAACCTTGTATAGGGTTTCAGAGGACTAGCTGGTGGGTTTGAACCAGCTAGCAATTCCTAATTTATGGTATAATCACCCAGTTAAGTATTTCATGGCAATGAAAATGAATTTACTACAGCTACTTGAATATCCAGAGTGGGTTAATGCACTGGACTGCAAAGTTGGTTTGAACTGCAAAGTCAGCGGTTCAAGCTCACTAGCTGCTCCTCGGAAACCCTATAAGAGTCACTACAGGTTGGAACCGATTCAACAGGACTTAAAAAAGAAGGAAGAAAAAAAATTGAATATCCTGGTATGGATGTGTGGGATAAAGCACTAGACTGCAAGATCGGTTTGAACCGCAAGGCTGGCAGTTCAAACTCAACAGCTGATCCTTGGAAACCCTATACAGGGTCACTATGACTTAGAACTGACTCAACGGCACTTAACAAGAACAACAACAACAACTTGGATATCCTACCACCATCAATTTGAAGTCCTGGTGTGGTGCTGTAGGATAAGCACTAGAATGCTAACTGCAAGGTTGGCATCTCAAACCCACCAGTCCTCAAAAACCCTACACAGAGTCACTGTGAGTCAGAAGTGACTCCACAGCACTTACTAATGACAACAATCTGTCCATTTGTTATACTGTGGTAGCATGCATATTGTTATGCTACTAGAAGCAATGCCACTGCTATTTCAAATACCAGCAGGGTTACTGAAGGTAGGCAGGTTTCAGCAGAGCTTCCATACTAAGAGACTAGGAAGAAAGGCCTGACAATCTAATTCCAAAAATTAGCTAATGAAAACCTTATGAATCACAACAGAAATAGTCTGACTGGACTTAAACATCTAATCAACCCAATCATGTAAATGACAGAGACTGGGTAACATTTCTCTCTGTTATACACAGGGTCACCATGTGTTGGCACTGACTTGACAACAGCCAACACTTGGATATTAGATGAATAAAACAAGTCACAGAATAGACAGTAGAAGTCCACTTGTATGAAGTGCAAAAAGTAATGTTGAAATATTAATATCGTTGTTAAGCGCTGTTGAGTCGGTCCCTACTCATAGTGACCTTTCTGAGGAGTGGCTGATGGGTTTGAACCACAAACCCTGCAGTTAACAGTTCAACACTTATCCTACAGTGCCAACCCAGGATTCCCATTAACATCTTATGCAAGTAAAATTTTGCTAAAGATAATTCAAAACTGCTTGCAGCAATACATCAGTAAGGACCTTCCAGAAGGTCAAGCCAGATTCAGAGGAGGATGTGGAATGAGGGATATCACTGTTGATTGAGATGGATCATGGCTGAAAATAGAGACTACCAGAAAGATTTTTATTTGTGCTTTATTGACTATACAATGGCATTTAACTTTGTAGATCAGGACAAACTATGGTTAGCAATGCAACAGTGGGTATTCCAGAACATTTCATTGTGCTCATGCGGAACCTGTACACAGACCAAGAGGAGTCATTCCAATAGAACAATGGGATACTGACTGCTTGGTTTAAAATCAGGAAATGGGTGCATCAGGGTTTTATCCTTTCACCATACTTTTTTGAGCCCCATTGAGAGGAGGGAATGAGGCACAGTTCCTACTACCTACCACACACACAATCTACGTAGCCCTGTAAATTCCAGTTTGCCCAATGAACCTACTCTTTACGTATAAGACATATTGTCACAGAACGTTGAAACATAAACCTCATACGATTAACCTGTTGATAACTTGTTTCCCTTGAGCCCTGTTTCCTCCCAAAGAAGTGTCCCACCACACCAAGTATTGACTATAGTAAGCTGTGGCCCACCAAGCATGTGCAGAAAGGACATTCACAACCTACAGTTGATCCCTGAACAAGAAAACTTTGGCCAAGGGACAAAAAAAATCAAGAAATATGTCACCAGACAAACTTGGACAACATTTAGAAGTAAGGAGTCAGACAAGTCACTTCTTGGCCAAGGATTGTAACCCCAATGCATATTCATGACCCTTTCTCAGAAACTAATTATATGTTTATTATCTCCCCAATGTACTTTCTGATGTGTTATGTATAAAACTGCAAACCTCCTTTGTTTCAGAGCTTGCCTTGGCAACTATGACTGCATTTTGTTACTTGCTTGAACAACCAAAATAAACGTTTTCCTTTAAAAAAAAAAAAAAGTAACGTTGAGCACTCTTCTTACATATTGCAGTTAAGTGAGAGAGTGCTCAACATTACTTAAAAGGACTTATGTGGAAATTAAATAAAATGAAAAAATGTATTATACTAATACTGAATGTTCTATTTCTTAAGCTAGGTTAGTAGGTTCCTGGATTGATTATACTTCATAATATTTATTATAAAAAGGCATCTCTGGGTGGCATAATCTGTTCAAACTACTCAGAGGCACCTTGGAAGAAAGACCTGGTGATCCTGCTTCCAAAAGATCAGTCTTAAACCTATGGAACGCTGTTCCATTCTGCACACATAGGATTGCTCTGAGTCAAAATTGACTCAAAGAATACCAGTTTGTTTTGGTACTATGAATATATGTTATTCACAATAAAATATTTAAGACACCAGCACTGAAAACCTTTATTGAAAACAATTTCTTACGTACAGATTAAATGATAGGCTATCATTAATCTTTGAAATAATTTGGTAGTGGGACACAGCTAAAATAAAACTAGCCATATGTTAATAGTAGTTAAAGGTGGGTAGTGGGTAAAACAGGATTTTTTAATGCTATTATCTCTACTTCATTCTATGTTTAAATTTTTCCACAACTCCTCCACTTAGCAAAACAAAATTTCACAATTAATTGAAGTTAATCCTCATTCCAATTTATCTTTTATCCTTTCTGTCTATAGTCTTCACAAGTCACTGTTAAGGCATTACCCAGCAATGCAGAGCCTCATTTCCACCTACTCAATTCATAAAGGACCAGCAAGTTTGATGAAAGCACACAGAAGATTCAATTACAAAACTGTAGGCCTTTCAAACAATGGTAAGAAAACCACATACGTCGGTGCATTTCCCGGTAAAGAATCGTCAGTGCCTGCAGTGAGTTGTCATCTGTGGGCTCAAGGGCTGCCACTTCCTGTGCCAAGGTGAATGCTTCCTCTTGCTTTCCAGTTCTCTGCAAACCAATCGCCTTTAGAACCTGACATGAAGAGGACAAAAATACATTTTAAAAGGCAAGACTAGGAACCAAGAACCAAAAAAAGCCAATCTGAAATTACAAATTGTAAGATAGGCCTGGGTTGCTAATCAACTAAACCAAATATTTTACTGAAAATGTAAGGAAATCAAGATTCTTTCTTATTGCAGTTAAGTGAAAGAGTGTTTAACATTACTTAAAAGGACTTCTGTGGAAACGAAGTAATTAAGTTAGATAAGTAATGTCAAAGAAATAAAAGGCTAGCTTTTATTAAATACAATTTACAGTTATTTAAGTGATGAGAAAAACAGGAAAGGGCTTCCAAAAGTTCAAGGAGAAATGAAACGGAAAGCTAATGGACTTTTTCCATTAATTTTTTCTGAAGCCCCCTTGTAAATGACCTGAAAAATACTGTGACAAAACACAGATTAATGGTCATTAAGAGAACAATGAAACATCTTTTCCCTTCCAAGTAAAGAACAATACTCCATAACTCAGCAAACCGAGGTAACTCAGGAGCAATGAAACATGTACCTTAGCACAATGAAGATCTTTATGTTTCTTCAACAGTTTATCTGCTTGCTGAATTGCCATTTTATTATTGCCATTATCAAGATAATCTGTGAAAAAAGGAAACTGTAGTTAGTTATTACATTCCTTCAACTACAAATATGAAAACTGCAGACTAAGGAAACAGCAGAAAAGAATTTCAAATTCTCACGGACTCTACACTTTCTGAAGCCATGGACTATGGCTGAACCTCTGTAACTATTGCCCTGAGATAATCTTCAAATCTTAAACCAAAAGTATCCCCTGAGGAAGTGAGGGAAAAACAGCAATGAAGTGGCGAGTTAGCGGCAAGCCCTACAATGTTCAATAGACTTCTGTGAACCCGGGTGGAGACCTGGTTGGCCAGCAGTGTGGCAAGACCTGGGTACTCTTGGGCCCAGAGCCAGTGACATAGCCACAGAGGACTAGAGTGGAGAGTGAAGTGTCCAGAGGATAAGAAGAGAAGGCATATGCACAAGAACACTCACACTTACAGATAATACCCACTTGACCTGGCTTCAATGACAGGATGATCAGAGCTCAACCAGAAGAAGAAAAAACAGGAAAAAAAGAGTAACCTGATACAATTTGATGAACTTGACCTACACCTATGGATGCAGTAGCTCAAAAGAGGAAACAAATCCTTACAGTGAGGTTCATTCCCACTCCCTCCATACACAGAGTAGACAGGAATGGGCAACTTGGACATTGGCTACCCAAAATGTATATGTATATGGGGGGGGGGGGGTACAAAGACAAGAAGTGACTGGCTTACAAGCTTTCAAGAGGGAACCTAGATTCAGAGGGCATGGAGGAAGGTAGAATCTCCACTGAGTAGTATACAATCTGTCATGGAGGGGATGATGAAATGAAATGCAGATGGGTCTCTTGTGATACAGTAGTGAATAATTGTTATCTGGACTGCTTGTGAGGGTTGGAATTGTAAAGGTAGACATTTTGTAGCAAGGAGGGGAGTGATTAACTTTTCAGCCTAGGAGCGGAGGTCCCTGGGACCATCAAGGGTGAAGAGCAGAGAGCGGACCCTACCCAGAGAAGCAGTGATGCCTGAGATGGAGGCAGAGACGATGACATGGAGAGATGGAGCTGTTGGGGACTTTAGACAGAAAGGGAGAGGGGCTGTGTGCTGATGACTAGGGGGCAGGCTTATAGTGTATACCCTTTGGTTGGTTGATGATGCATGGAGGGGGTTGTAACCATAGCAATGAAATGATACATGATAGGATGAATGTAAAACTAATGTTCTCCCATGTAAACTATCACATAATTCACAATAAAACATTTTTTAAAAATGTGAAAAAAAAGTATCCCCTGAAACCCACAGCTCATACGATATACAAAAATAAACTCCACATGGATTAAAGACTGAGATACAAAACCTAAAACTATAAAGATCACCATTGAAAAAATAGGGACAATGGCATAAATACACTAGCGAAAATAACTGAAAATATATAAATGAAAGACAAAATAGATGACTAGAACCCCATAAAAATTAGACACCTATGAGCATCAAAGAACTTCACCAAAATAGTTACATCCTCAAAACATTAGAAATAGATTTATCATATGCCCCACCATTCCTCTTCTTGTTATGTATCTAAGAATTAAGATCCAGGACACAAATAGATACACATCGACCCACGTTCACTGCAGCACTATTCACAATAGCAAAAGATGAAGACAGCCTAAATGTCCATCTACAGAAGAATGGCTAAACAAACTTTGGTATATACACTTGAAATACTATGCAACGTTGAAGAATAAAGACAAATCGGTGAAGCACCTCATAACATGGATGAACCTGGAAGGCATTATGATGAATACAATTATTCAATCACAAAAGAACTAATTTTGTATATAACCATTGTTGTAAAAAGTTAAAAAAAGGTTTTCTTGATAAAAGAAACATTCTATGATGGTTATGGGGTTGGAGGTGGGGGGGGTGAGAGGAAAGACAAATGTATTCACAGGCTGATGGTTATGGGTTTGGGGGTGGGGAGGTGAGAGGAAAGACAAATTTATTCACAAGCTAGAGAGTTGTGTCAGTTGCGACTCACAGAGACCCTGTGTAGAGTTTCCATGGAGCAACTGGCGGATTTGAACAGCCAACCACGCAGGTTTAAAAACCAGCCTTATGATCTATCTAGTGCTTATCCTAATATAATGGGAACGGGGAAGGCAATATACAACACGAGGAAGGATGGCAGAAGAAAGATGAAAATAGAAGACACATAAAGGAGCGCAAGAGTTAAAATAAATAGAGGTAAATACTGTTAACACAAGGAGAGGACTGCAACCATTGTAATGAAAGGAAGTATATGATTTGTTCAATGTAAAACTGATGATTTGCTTTGTAAATCTACACTCAACTCACATAATAAGTTTTAAAAATAAGTAAATAAAATATCCCCCTAAAGTCTATTTAAAACTTAACTACAGGATTGAAAATGACGTTTCACTCAGGATTAACAATATCATGCAGCTGATACTAACTCTAAATGATTAGGATGGCCCATAATTCAATGTCATATTCCTAATACTCTCTCATGAAAAAACAATGCTGTTACTGTTGCTAAGTGTCATCAAGTCGGTTTGTACTCATAGTGACTCATATAGGGTTTCTGAGGAGCAGCTGGTAAGTTTGAACCATCAACCTGTGGTTCAAATCAATCTTGCAGTGCAGCACATTAACCCACAGTGCCAAAACAGAACTCAATATATAGCAAGTTACAGTAAACCCATTACTGTTAAGCCAATTCCTACTTACAGCAACCTTATGTTGTTGCTGTTAAGTGCCACCGAGTCAGTTCCAACTCACGGTGACCCTATAAAGGATCTCCAAGGTTATATATCTATCTATGAGGAAGCAGAACGCCTCATCTTTCTCCTGTAGAATGGCTGGTGGGCTTGAACCACCAACCTGTGGTTCACAATCCCATGCTTAACCATCCTACAGGGCAACCCTACATGGCAGAGTAAAACTGACCCATACTGTTTGTTCATTTTTGCAGAAGCAGACTGCCTTATCTGTCTCCCACAAAGTGTCTGGTAGTTTCGCACTACCAACCTTTCATTTAGCAGACAATTGCTTAACCAATGCACCACCAGGGCTCCTACAGGTTATATTAGCCTATCTTAATGTAGAGTCAATACTATATATACAGGTACATGGGGGTGGGGCTACAGCATAAAGGCACGAAGTGACTGGCTTACAAGTTTTTAAGAGGGAGCTTAGTTTCAGAGGGTGCAGAGGAAGGCAGAATCTCCACTGAATTTCCAACCTCTCTAGGGGGCTGGTGAAAGGAGATGGGGATAAGACTCTTATGATTCAATAGTGAATAATTGTTATCAGGACTGAGTGCAAATGTAAAGGCAGATATTTTGTAACAAAGGTAGATGTTTTAATAACAAAAGGTAGACATTGTGTAACAAAAAGCAGACATTTTGTAACAATAGAAGGGGAGTGGTTGATCTTGCAGACCAGGAACAGAAGACCTTGGGATCATCAAGGGAGAAGAGCGGAGTGCAGGACCCTAACCAGAGAAGTAATGATGGGAGATGGAGGCAGAGACATGACATGGAGAGATGGAGCAGCTGGGGACTCTGGATTCAGGGAGGGAGAGAAACTACATGTTGACAGCCCCCCTAGGGGGCAGGCTTGCAGAGTATGCCCTTTGGTTGTCTGAATGGTTATATATTCCTGAGTGCTTCCGTGTACATAAAAAAAAAAAAAAAAAGAGGGAATGGAAGCAAATGTTGTTGAATAATGATGCATGGAGGGGATTATAGTCATTGCAATGAAACGAAGTACGAGAGGATGAATGTAAGGCTGATGTTCTCCCAAGCTATCACCCTATTCACAATAAAAACTTGAAAGAAAAAAAAACGTCAAAAACTATATATACAGGTAAACATCACTGAACATGCACACTACACTCTGCAAAGTAGGACATTATGTGATTTGGAAGTTGTGCAAGCATCATATTAAAACCTTATGGCAGAATCCTCACTGAATAGTTTTCCTCATTTCCAGATGGGTGTGGTAAAAGGGGTAGGGGATGATGTTGATAGGATTTTATGATTCAATTGTGAGTATTGGTTTACAGGATTAACTGTGACCATCAAAACTGAAATTATAGAAGATGTGCAACTAAAAGCGAGGAGTAGTTAATCTTTCATTTCAGGAACAGACAATCCCAGGACCACTAAGAAGGAAGAGCATGAGTGGATCATGAGATCCCTACCTAGGGAAGCGGCAACAGCAGAAATGGTGGCAGAGGCAGTGGCATGGAGAGACAGAGCAAGCTGCAGGCTCTAGGTCCCTGGATTGAGTAAGACTATGTGCCTGTGGGCAGGAAGTTGGCTTGCAGAATGTGCCCTTTGGATATTTAAATTGATATCTAATTTTTATCTTGTATGTGTGCATGCAATATTTTTGCTTTGCTCATTTGTGAAATGTAAATGGGCAGCCATAGGAAGGAAGTAGGACAACTGTTGTTTCAGGGAGGAGATTGTAATCATTGAGCTAAAACAAAGTATATGATTTGTTGAATGTAAAGCTGATGATCATATCTATAATCTTCATTCTATTCACATTAAAAAGTTCAAAAAACAACAACAACAACAAAACTTATGGGACTTCCAGCTGCAGCTGCTGCCACTCTTGCTACTGCTGCTGCAAGGACTGCTGGCAGAGGCCAGAGGAACAACAGGAGGTGGCAGCAGGCCCTTCCTGCTGTTCTGCTTGCACAAGCACACCACCACCTACCTGCCAGATAAAGACTCAATGCCCATGCCCACAATCACATCCCCTGACTCCTCTGTCTGCATCCCACCTGTGGTCCAGTGTTATGAGAGTCTGGGTTTAGGGTCTTTCAGACTTCTATTGTTAAGTGCCTTTGAGTCAGTTCTGACTCACTGCAAGCCTATACAGGGTTTCCAACAAGCAGCTGGTAGGTTTAAACCACCAACCTTGTGGTTTAACCTTGTGATACTACAGTGCCACACTAGGACTACTTATTGTTGGTAAGTTCCATGGAGTCGGTTCGGA